GGGTGGCAAGGCCTGTAGCCCCTGGGGATCTGGTGCCTGTGGAAGAAAAGGAAAATAAGAGCTTGTGTCTACTTTCAAGGCGACATCACCACACCCATCACCAAGCCAGGTTCTGAGGCTAAGGGATTCCTGTAACCTCCTGGGACCAAATTCTGCTTCAACCTGAGTGGAGAGTCTGGGAGAGTGTCAAGTGCTGTGCTATCCCACTGCGTGATGCTGACAAGGGAGCCTGCTGTTGCCATGGGGCATGTCAGAACAATCTTAAGGCAGGAGTTCCCAAAAGTGTTTTATAAACTTTTCCCAGGGAGCCATGCTCAGATAGGGCACCACCTGCAGAACAAAGGGAGCATGGAGAAGATCCCAGAACAGACGAGATCACCACAGGACAACTGGGCTTACACCAGTGCTTCTCAAAGCATGGTCCTGAGACAGGTGTTTGTGAAAAGTTAAGTTCAGAAAGGGGAAGCAAGGCCCAGAAGCAAGGTCCATAGAGGCTTGGCATCACCACAGCCTCTGAGCATGAAGTATATATGACTGTATCTGTGAAAGGCTGGGAATGACTAGCTAGTTCTCCCCAGAGATTGTTGCTACAGACGACCAGGTTCACCTGAAAGAGAGGCTGGGAAGGGACAGAAGGGTGGGAAGAGATGAAGCCAGGACAAAGGTTTCTGATAGAGGCTCAATGCTTTAATGTTCAGCTTTCAATTTAAAGGGGGTAACCCACCTCCACCCCCAGAGTTCCTTCTGGCTTCATCTGGCTGGGGGCAAGCGCTGGGGGTGAGCGGAAACCATCCTGCTGGAGCTGAGAGGAATCCATAGGTAATTGCGGGCTGGAGATGTCTCAAAGCAAGCTCAGCAGGCAGTCTGTTCTTCTCAGCTCGTGTACCAGGCTACAGGCAGACAGAAAGGCGCCAAGGCCAAAGCAAGCACTACCTCACCAAGGGCAGGAAATGCCTCCGGCCAGAGTCCTATTGTTTGGTCTATTGTGGTAAACAAGGTCTCATCTCTTAGGCCTGCTCAAGGCTGGGGGAAGGGCACAAGAGATCAGTTTAAGAAGCATAGGTTTGGAGTATTTGCTTATCTCTAAGCATGCAGTAACTGGTAAGCTATCCTTTAAAACAGTCACTTAAAAAATAAGTATCACTCAGCAGGTGTGGTGGCATACAACTTTAATCCCAGCATGGGAGGCAGAGGCAGGCAGATCTCTGTGAGTTCAAGGCCAGCCTGGTCTATGTAGTGAGTTTCAATATAGCCAGGGCTATATAAGAAACCCTGTATTTATGTCCTGTCCTGTAGAACTGGAGATCCACAGGATTAGAAAACAGCAAAGTTAAATGACTCAGCAGAAGATGGAGAAAGTGATGGGGAGAGATAGGTACCATCCATAGGTGTGGCCTGGCTCCATCATTTAGGCAGGAAGGGGCAGATGCTCCCCCAGGGGGGACTTAAGGAGACAGGAGGGGGTGGTCTTTTGATCACTACTCTCTGATGATAGGCTCTGTCTGAAGTGCTTGACTTGTGTTAGTTCATACAACCCCCACAGTCTCCATCAGAAAATGACTTCTCTTATAGAGAACACTGGTATAAGAGAGAATGGGCGTGGGGAGCTCCCTGATGCTGTACCGAAGACTGTCAGGCCTTAATGATGGGAACAAGGGTGTCAGATCACACTCATACTCTCTATGTGGGCCATGGGCTGAGCGTGATGTCCATAAGGGACCGGGCCAGCACAAGCATAGCGTTCCCAGGCTGACAGGTCTGGTTGGCAGGAGGCAGAGGGATATATGTACACACAGCAAGTGTATAAGTGAAGGGAGATACACATCGAGGATGGCCAGGAAGGCCATGGTGAGGTCACTGTGATTATCCAGCTGGCATCCAGAAGGTTAGTCCCTTGAGGGCTGGGTCTCCCGCTCACCATCCAGCCCAGGAGGTTATTGAGGCCCAACTCCCTAAAGATCCTTGCTGAAGCACGCAGGCCATGGAGAGTGGCAATGGGCCTCCCACTGAGTCACAGTGGTGAGGTGGATTCTGGGATGCAGAGACCTCACGGACATGGGACAAAGCCTTGGGTACCTAAGAATTCTAGCAGCTCTGGGCTGCCTGCCAACTGGGCATCCTTCGAGACACAGCGCAGAATCTCATCAAACATGGCTCTCCTTTCCCGGATGTCAGACTCCCCGACAAACAGGACCTTCCTGGGGAGTGGGGGCAGGCTGGCTGCTGGGTAACGATTGTACAGTTTCTGGTAAAACTCCTCGATGTCGCTGTATTTTTTGGAGACCTGGAATGAGAGGAGCATGCGGTTTCCTGTGTGAAGAACCAAGGGTGAGAAGCTTCCTCACCCTGACCAGATATGCACCAGGAGCAGGCCCTCTACACACCACCCAGCCTCAATCTCTGGTCCCCACGGACATCTTAGAGTCCAAAAGGAAGGATGCAATAATGGAGTGACTTTAGGGACTCCTGCAGGTTCATGTAAAGGAGGACTTTGACACAGAGACCCAAACCTGGCCTGCAAATGACCATGGCCTCTACCTATCCTGGGCTTTCCGAACCTGAGCAGAGGAAGTTTGGCACCTGGCAGGTGTCAGGTCATCTTGTGACAGCATTGTGTGCCCTTTTCCCAGCACAGGACAGGTGGTGCCTACCCTGACAGGCGGCAGAGGTGAGTAAGGTTAGCAGGAGTCAAAGGTGCATGGGGGTCTGGGTGAAGCAGGCCACATCTCCTGCTGCTGTTACCAAGTGGTCCCAGGTGTCCCCTGAGTCTCTGAAGGCAGTACTTGGTTTACTGTAGTCCACAGGATAGCTGCCTCAATGGATCGCCATCTTCCTCCTCTACCAAGTTCCACACCTCTCCACAGCTCAGTGAGCGTGCTTTCATATACTGTACTCTTGCTATGCATTTGTCAACAGAGGAATCCTCAGTTGGCTCTGGACTTCATGCAGCGAGCAGCCATAGCCCCATGGGTTTGGTGGCATTGCTGGGATCTGTACAAAAGTCACTTGCCTTTTGTCACAGCCTTCACCAACATCCTCGATTATCTCAGTCCTGAACTCCTTGGTGATTCGCTGGAGGCCAGGCCATCTCCCCAGGAAATAAGTAGCAATGTTGAGAATGAAGGCATGGATGAGCTGCTCCCCCAGGCCTGGCTACTCCACCTT